GAAACATCAAATACATTATGTGTTACATTAAGCTAATTGCACGTTTGCAATTCTGCTAGTATTATAGCACCTTTGTTATCATAGCTTTTTCATGGTCACTTTTAGCATATAACGTCAGTTCCCAATCGGCCTTTTGCTATACGTGGGTACATTTCAAAAAGAATAACACACCGCTCGTTTCCTGCATTAACCGCCGCGCAACTTCGTTTTGAAGATAGAATTACAATAAAAGTTACAGTTAAAGTAACGATAGTAACTTTCACGATTTCTAGAATTTGATTTTCTCGTATTTATTCCGTCGTCATTTTTATTTTCCACTATTCTTATCACTAATACACACACTTTTTCATAGTGTATAGATTTAGTTTTTATCCGGACATATACAGTTGTACGGTAGTCGTTCTCTTTTACGAGGCCGTCCGCTGCATAAAATGCCCGAAACAGGTCTGCGCTGGAAAGATCGCTTTCGTTATAAAAACGTTCTCTTTGGCCCGCTTTATCTCCACGTCTGCGGTATTGAAGCAAACGCTTTTCGCAAAAAGTGGTTTTCAGACGGAAGGACACCGGTAGTTTGGGCTGTAGGAAAGTAAATTAGGTCAATAAAAATAGTGAACGCTCCTGCAAAATCGGCGTATCTAATCCCTTTATCACGTTCCGTTTGAAGCTAGTAGTTAGTCATTCACATGAAACAATAGCAGAGCAGAACATGATTTGCTAGGGCTAGTTAGGCGAGCATGGTAATTAAGACTAACTGTTTTTTTGTGGAGGGGCTTCTTAAGCGTCTTGATGGCTACCACCGAGTTGGTTTGGTTCATCAGACCTTGAAGTAATGTAGCACGTTTTTCAATCCATTTCACGAGCCATTACTTAGTAGTATCAATCGCGTAACAGTGAAAAGAACCATCGTCAAGTTCTAAATGAGTTCTAGGCCGTTGGAGGTTGCAATAAACCTAAAACTATAGCTGTGTCGTTACCTTACACTTACTAAGTATAAAGTGGCTTATACCGTTCCAGGATGTTTAAATGATCTTGCAATCGTTTAGGATGCGACACTTGGATCATTGTTAATGTCGCCACAAGCTCAAGAAGGCGTAATCCAGAAACGTGTGTTATCTGTGCTAAAAAGAAACTTCTAAGTTTAATTTTGACGAGGTCGTCCGTTGGGCAAATAAATTTGGGAAATCTTTATAAAGCTTTCCTATGAAATCTATGCATACGAAATATATGCATTTATTAAAATATTGCAGCCGAAAGTAATAAGGCATAGATTGTAATCAATTTCTTTTGGCACAAATTGGATTTTAAGCAAGAAATGTGAGCTTCAAACCCTAATATAACCCTATGATATGTTAATTGCAAAGCCACTCATTTAAAGTATGTGTGACGTTATGGAGGAGTAAAGTATATCGAAATTTGTGAACAGACAGAAAATTAAGTGAACGATTTTGTTTTGTCTGCGTGGCGCTATAATCTGCCTACATCGAACCGTTGAACTATCGAAGGGCACTCCCTAGCCGGTGAAGGTGAGCTTCATACGTGTCACGATACGCCAGCTCTTGCGCCTTTACCTTGCATCAAATCCAGGCTTTACCAACGTCAATGTGACGTATCTGTCATCACTCTCAACTACTGTTATATCAGTGGCTCTCATCAAATGTATTTAAAATTAGATAGCATTGGCTGAAAAGCTAGAGGGTTTTGCACATGCTCACTGTAACCCCGAAATATTCTCCGAAAAATCAATTTAGCTCATGATATTATTTAATGATGGCGATGTTATTTGGTCGACGACTAATAGGTGCTATTGTTGACATTAAAAGTTTACAGGTGACGGAAGGGTTGTTAGTTCAGACAGAGGATAACTGTCAAAAATAACTGCTTTAGTAGGTTTTGCCAAGCTTGCATAATGGACCGCAGTGTTCAAGTGACCGTCGACCCAAGTGACAGACCGGTTACTGTGATTCGGCATCAACGGATAGCATTCGGAGCTGTTTTATTTTTTGTTGCCGTTATATGCTCTGTTGGAAGTGAGGTACATAATTCTTTCTAGGCGGTTTAGCTTGACCTTATTTCGCTGTTACTCTTTGCAGCATGGATCTAGCCATAATAAGTTCGTTCATAACTTACTTGGGAACAGTTAGTACGTCTAAAGGTAAATAGATACAGTTGAGTCCATTCAGTTGTATTTCCTGTACAATGTCTCCTGTATGTCATGCGTCAAAGGCGATTGTTGAAGTTCCATTGTTGGTGTCATCCTTTGTTTCAAGCGAATCTCGTATATGATCAAAGCTGGAAAGATGGCCTGTACATCATAGCTTCAGTCTGTACCATGTGTACCATGGCCTTTTACTCAATCTTCTGTAGCGTTGTTGCTGTCGTCGCAGGCAGCCTGAGTATATTCTCCCTAATGAGCCCCAAACGCAGACAACTGTTCAGGTGCAATGTCCGGTAAGCTAACATTTTCCGTTACTGTTCTCATCTTCACTCAGTTACAGACTAAACCCAGATGATGTTTAGTGCAAAAATAGCTATAAAAAGTTAGTATAGTGGATCATCATTATCTATTGATGGTAAGCATTCAGACTATTAAAATTCCAGGGATTCCCAGGATGCTGCACGTACTGACGAAACACAACAAGATCAATAGACTGTTTAATGTAATACCTTGAGTTGACCTCTACAAACATTTTTTAATTCAACATAAACTTATTCCAGTTGTAATCAATTATTCACATGTCAGAGCTGGCGTCAGGTCCCAACTTCCAGAATCTGTAGTTGTTCAAAAACATGGGAGGTATTTTGTAGAGCGCGCAGAGAATTAGCGATCAAAAGTTCAAAGTTAGCCACTAAAATTTGTGACTATATTTATACATTGCAATTTCTAGTCTTCGATTAAGAGATTCTGCTGGAGTACGTAGACTGTCGTCACTGAAGTACCCACAGGCCTTATTACAGTTGCGTAATTAGCGTAGATGTGGTATGTACTATTGCAATCTAAAGAGATGAAAATTACCACTGCTTGACATAGATATAAGTCACGTGCAATTTTAAGTTAATAGAGTCATGTCGCAATGCGTATGTGTACGTATTGCGACATGACTCTATTAACTTTTCGTTTTGATAATCTAGGTATCACGACCCGCTATTCTGGTTCTTGGCTCAATCACAAATTATTACGGAACGCATACTCGTGTGGGCCATCACCTGTATTCTTCAATGGATTTCCCGGGGGAGCCCGCTTTCAACCCGAACACGATGCGTAAACCGCCGCCGTACGAATAAGATGCATAGTCCCAGTCACTTAACATGTAAACGCATCACCAATAATCTCTAGGTCTTATGGCGCCCTTGCATTTTGATTGTGTGTATATAGGTCGGAGCATGCGCAACGAATGAGCTGTCAAAACGCATTCCCCACTCATCCAAAGCATATTTCAGTGCCGGAAAGAGATAGCCATAAATGTTTCAGGAAAAAGTCTGTGTACGCTATAGAACTACTGATAAACGTCGACATTGAAAAACACGAGCCAACTGGGATCTGCGCACCTGATTCTAGATGCCGGTTGATGCAGATGTCCTGCTGTGTACTTGTTCGATAAGCCTACTTTTTAAAAAATAGCTGTAAGTCATGCCAGTTAATGAGCAATTTTTAAGCGTACAAGCACGCCTACATGAACTTTTAGAACGGCAATGCGCTATGTTGCGAAAACTGAATTGACTTCTCAAAATAGGAAGGAAACAAACGAACATATTTATAACATTCAATATGTGTTCTTCCCATATACATATATACGTATGGTTTAAAACACTTATACACCAAGTAACACAACTAAACAGTTGTATGTATACAACAGGAATCATTCCGTGCATTGGGTTACCAAGGGTATAGAGACATCACATCATGTCAACTGACACAGGCAGGAGTATTGTTCATGTACTAAACAGAGTTTGTCCAACATAAAATTAACCTATAAAGCGATAACCGAATGTACGAAAAGCTACCAGACATGGAATTTTGTATACAAATTATATTTTGTATATATTTATGGTTTTCTACAACTCATTGGAAAAAGGTGACGCGACCAATATGCCTAATACAGTAAATCTAAAGTCGTTCGTACCTTTTCGAAAGCTATTTTTATTATTATCGTTAACGGCCGCTGCAAATAATGGTTAACATGTTTAGCTATGTCGTAGTTATTAAGAGACTCAAATTTTCATCAATAGTTAAATAAAACATTTTGTAGGTCTACAATGCAACTTTTTCTCAAGTGTATATACTTATTTTTCTTCCTTTTTAGCTTTTCGTATCCTCTATTTTAAAGAACTTCCCAATCTTAGGCGCTTTAGAATTTCGCCCTTAACAAACATTACAGTGCCAGTGGCGTCGTGTATTCAGGCAACTTGGTAGCTTGAAATGTATGGCCCGTATGACCAGGAATATATACGGAAAGGCAAACTCCCAAGACAAAGCGATCTCACGACCTACGCGCAAGTTTATCCATGTGCCTAGATAAAGCTGAGTTTCTACAGAATCCTTCGACTCGGAAAAGGTTATGTTGCTGACCGGATCTGTCTATGAATCCGACTACCCGCTTACCGCCATCAACATCTTGTTAGGATGTTTACATTGGCTCTTTGATTTTTCTACGCACGTAGCAGTACTTAAAAATTGACAACCGAAAAAGGCTAACTTGACTTACTTTTACAAACAAATAATGTCACATTTTAAAAATGGGACATTACTTGGCGTTGAGCAAGAAAAAATGGAATTAATGTAACAAAGACTTATATGACCGTCTTAGTGTAGTATTCAGCAATGACTGAATCAACGCTCATATTATATAGACAGTAACTATCGTGAAATACACCTTGAGTTTCATCTTAAATATATATATATATATATATATATATATATATATATATGCACATTTATTTAATGATATTACATTCGCATGTTTACGAAGTTTACGGTGTGGAGATTCAAACCCAGAACGCTATATTGCAGCTGCGGGTGTTGGACGCAACTAGGCGCTAAAAGTTTCTCACAACACGTCAAATTCACATTGCAAAGATCAAAATAGCAACGCCAGTAAATATCGAACGGTCCATCCTATCGCTTCATCCTATCTCACTGTTAGACACATCATGCGGTGAGCTTATAAAACGATCGCATGCAAGTTCAAATTTTCGCGCGCATGCTCCTCTCAAATGCTTGGTCAGGTTGGGTATCAGCATTCCCGCGATACAGTTAAAACGGAGAAAAAAGCGAAAATGCGACCAACCAAAGCATATAGAGTCGCTTGCAAGCTGTAGTGTCGAAAGGAAGAGGAAGCTCTGAACAAGTGTGCAGATTCGCCATCTGTCTTTCCTCACAGGTTGCTTCTACAGCTGCGGGTGCGGATTGCATCTGTTATAGTGACAACGGTGGCTTTTATTAGCAACTCCTGCTCGCCTTACGTCTTCAGCTGTGTAGGAGCGACAGCAGCATTAGCAAGCGCTATACCTTTTTGTGCCTCGACGGCCGATGCCGACTGCTTTGCTTGGGGCTTGCTGGGTCAAATGCTGATGATGATCGCAGGAGTCGCTGTCGTCGTTGCATTCGTCTGAGGAAGGAGCTGCAACGCAGCTGAGCCATTCGCTGCCAGACTGCCCGTGCATATAGTAACCATAGTGAACCTGTTTTCTCGAAATTACTTAGTTGACGACGAACGGCTGAGGGAAATGTCTCTCGTGTAAGTGATGCGAAATAAGTGGACTTGAAAACAAATAAACTGGACCAGACATAGAAGTCAGTTCAACAAGACGGCGGTGTTACCTGATCTGGCTTGATTCTACATACTTAGATAAAATGGTTGAAAGAATTTGAATCAGTGTAAAGACATCAGTGCCGTTTGTAATTGGGGTGGAGCTATTGGAAATTGGAGAAACAGTATTTCCTGTCAGCAAAAGGTTTCTTGCTGTATACACTGTAGAACGGTATATGTCTGCACTGAAAGTTATCGACCGAGCTAATTATCTTGTGTACGAATGTGTAAATGGGTTTCACCGGTATATATAATAAGTAGAGGAAAATTTTGTGTGAAGGTGACGAAATTGCCTGCGTGGAATTGAAGGCGAAGATATTAGTGAAAAGCTGATTTTCAAATTTATTTGTGTTATAATAGAGAAGTTGGACACCGTTGGTGCATTTGCATATTGAGACTGTTCTGACAGTTTCAAAAGAAACAACTACTGTAGCAGCAAGAACGGAAAAAAATACAGTAAGTCCAGCGCTCATTAGGTTCATGCTCCTTCTATATGTTATCTATGGTGGAGATAAGTGTCGATCAAGTTGGCATACGAACCATGATATCTCGATCGTTGGAAAATTATAAAAATAGAGTTTCCTACTAGAGAAAATAAAAATAGAGTTACTGGCACCAATTTTGTTTTTTTTTTTTTATGCAAGTTGCGTGCAGTATATATAGGCCGATCTTTTGTTATATGTAAGTTCCCACGGTTTGTGTCGTGTTTCAAAATTGATGAACCCGATGATAACGATAGAGATCTGATTGCAAAGGAAATATGCGATGCCAGTGAAAAGTTTGATATGTGGAGCTTCGTGAAGGTTCTTCCGTAAGTTTCCCGGCTCTAGTAGACTAGATATTCATTAGGTACACAATGCACAGATCTGAAAATTCTAGTTCACGAGTTTGCAGCACTATTGTCAAAAGGCTGTACTTATTAAGGCTGTTCAGTTGCCGACAAATGTGATCTCGGCGTTATCTCGTTTATAGCACAGATATTTTTGCAAATCGTTATGTTATTTTTGCAAACCTGGCTCACTATCTTTGTTACAGGATAAACCATGATTGTCGCTCTCATTATTTCGTAAAAATATTTTCTTTACCGTAGGGAAGTCTCTTCAAAGGCGAAGGTCATGTTTTGAATTAAAATTAGTCTGAAAAAAACTGCGGAACTCAAATCTGTTGAGTATAAATAAGGCTGGAATCTTGTTTGCGGAATAAAACATGTGTTAGTTCGTTGAACGTACTGCAAAATTACGAATATAGAGGACGTATCTAACTAAATTCGTTGTGACAGGAGTATATTGCGGCGTCTTGGTGTACGTCGTATGTCAGTCGGTTCTATTAGTCCCAATTTTCTGAGCCGTATAGCAAAGCTTTAATAGTTACGTCATTGGCCTGTAGGGAAATACTTACTTCTTAGGTCTGTAATATATACGTAATCCTTTTCGGATTTCCCTTCGAAAGCAAAAACATTTTCGAAATCGTTGTACAGTAAGGGTTATTTTCCATGTAAGTGCATAACAAACTTATCAAGATAGCGAGATCAACCTTTACTTTTTCTATAGATATGCCGTAAACGTGTATTTCCATTGAATAATCCGATCCTTGCATGCGTACAAACTTGCGATATAGTTCGATCATATGAGTATTAGCAAATTAGGAGAAATCAGAAATTTTAATCATTGAACTTTTCCTTGTTGATTTTTTTTATTAATAGTAGGACTTAAGTTTGTTGGGTGGATTCGGTAAACGTGTCAGCTGGACCCAGTACCAAATCAAGGGGTCGTCGGTCTCCGCTCTCGACAATGGCGGAACCGCGTTCCCGTGTGCTTGTCGACCCTGAAACAGGCAATGTGCTAATTGTACATCGCCGCTCGATAGGAACCGGAACTATACTCTTCTTTCTTGCACTAGTCTCTCTTATAGCCGGTGAGTAGGACTACTGAGAATCTATGTAGCCTTTCTTAATTCGGCAAAGGTTTACAGATTCATAAAGGGTGGCGTTTCTCTTCGTAGTTTTTTTTTTGTGGCCATTTGCAATGATGAAAGTGATTATCAGAAATAATGTTTTAAATAGCAAGGTGTTTATTTCTAATTGGACAACACTTTGATTGCACGAATGGGCAGGCTGTCAAAATTGGACACCATTTTGCCTAGAGATTTCTATTTGTTGTGCAGGACGTTTAGCATAAATTGTGACACATGCTGGCACTCTGATTGTCGTAATGGGCATCCGTCCACCAGCGATTCTTGGTACTAAGCGAACGCCAGATTACATGCTGTATTGGCTGCCTGAAATCAACGGTCTACACAGCTCGCATGTGGCTTTCAAAGAAGCAGAACGAGACTTCAATAAAGCAAAGCGGTTTAGATTGAGGGAGTTGGAAATATATAAGAAATCACTAAAAAAAGATTTTTGATTGTTCAGGAATTTTTATGTAGAAACTGTTTTCAAGACATCGTTGATCCGGGCGTACCGGCAACGACTGCTGCTTTTTCAAGTTGTGGCGCTTTTTTGAACCTTTGAATTTTCAATATCTTCGATTTTGTTAGCCCAAAATTTGAAACAGCTGGCTTTGCGAATCAGGAACTTTCTAAATAATTTACGAGCGGTTATTCAAGCCCCAAACTTGCGAAAAGCGATAAAACTTACATTGAATCAACAAGTCCGTGAGGAATGCCCTGTCGCCACATATAAAAACCGATTTCATTTAGCTGTAACATATACACAAGCGACGCTTGAATTCTTCCTATTCATACTTAACACATTGTATGTAAATAATACTCTTACACCCAGTTTAGCCATAAGGTAGCGAAAATTAGAAGAAAGTCTTTTTCTGGCCCGGTTGAAGTCAAACGAAGTGGCCACATTAATGTTTTCATTTTCAGCAAAATATGTGGATGATGGCAACTATAGGGAGGCTTTCTACTCGTTCGGGGCCCTGTGCTGCTTACTATTGATGGGCGTTCTTATTTGGCGATGTTGTTGTTGTTGTTGCCACCCCAAACATCGCACACCTGGTTACGTCGTTGTCGGCGGTCCTCAAAGTCACGCAGGAGCCCCGATACAGCCGCAAGTCAATGTCACCCCTAATCCGGTTAGTAACACCGCTAGGTACTATTATCAATGAAACGATTAAACTCCAATTTCTAACAAAACCCAAGGCTACATTTATTCCAAAATTCACAGTGAGATGATACTATCGACATTCGATTATTCTAGGGTCTCCTAGGTAAAATATTCTACCTATGAAAGTCAGGAAGACCATATTGACCGTTACCTATTTGACCTATTTTGTATTATGCTTTCGGTCTTTTTTGTCGTACAGTAACAATATCAATCTTATTGTTATTTCGAATTATTCGTCGTGCATTGACAGGGTTACCCCGTGGCTGCTGCGGTACAGCCCGTCCTAACGAGTTATGCAACGCCTGGAGTAGGCACGTTTGCGGCGCCACCTTTCGTTGCTGGTATCGCTCCGCAGCCGGCATACAACCCAAATATGCCCCCGACGCAGGTTCAATCACAACAACAGCGCAGCGGTAATCTGCAAGAAGCATCCGCTCCTCTCTGTGATGCGCCCCCCTCGTACGATGAAGCTACGGCCATCCCTCACAAACAATGAAATTTATGCACGGATTCGATTTTGCAAAGAAGTAGAGACATAACCAAATATCTAAGTTTACCTATTCAACCTCAAGTAATCAGTCCGCTCAGAAACGTAAGAAATGCCGCTGGGTATAAATGCGGCGATAATACGACGAAGTATGCTTCCACGCGCTTTCAGAGAGTAGTCTAAAGTTTTTTCAGCGAGGGAAAAAGCTGCCTACAACGCCTTGGGATTGCGTCACCGATGTTACAATCCGGCGGCTCAGTTTAGGCAACACGAATGCAAATGCTCAAGTGCGACCACCTCCTGTTTGTCCACGCTCAGTATTAAATCGCGCGGCAAAGGCAGGAGCCAGTTTTAGAGTCACTCTCAGCTACCAGGCAAGCGGCGTCACCGTCATAGCGGCTAATTAGGACAGCTAGGGGTATCTCTATGATGCGTAGCTATCGAAGGGTGAGAAATTCACGAGCGTGATCAGACTAGTTTGTATATTTTGCTCAAGTTCTTTCTCTATTAAAGCATTACGAAACCAATGAACGGTAGAAAATAAACGACTACTCGAAATCTTACTTCAGAACGCATTTATGAGGACGGCACCTCTTGATGCCACAAGAGAATTATGTAATTTACTAATTAACCACTTGTTCGCCCTAAGTGGCCTATATATACATTACTACTTTTCTATCAAAGTTCCAGGTTAGCAGAGGTTTAATTATTCCAGCGTTCATTTATTTAGTGACGGGAATAACATACTTTCAGTGGGAGACACGCTGACTATGTGCTTTGTACGTAGACTATCTTAAAATCACCGCTACGGTCGCTTATAGTGATGGATGAAAGCTTAACAGAAGGAGGTTGAAGTTGTGAGGAATCGAATATACCAATACGAATGACTTTTGGTATGGCTTTGAATCTTACTACTTAGCAGACAGAGCTCCACGTGTACACAGCTGTACCTCGCATTTTTAGTCAGTATTCATAATTATATATATATATGTGCGTGTCTGATCTAGTTTTTGAATGTAACATTATTGAATATAAGAAAACAACAGTGATTTTAGCGGTGTCCAATCTGTTAATGAATTTGTAGCAAGGGGTAAACCACGCAAGCTAGCTGTATGAAGCGACAAATGAAACAGTCCGGCCCTATCAACTCTTGTATAAAGATTACTTGGTGTACATACGCCGACATGTACGGTGGTATTGTTCTGTCGAACAGTTCTTCTATACCAGTTATCTGTCTGTCTGTTAACCAAGAACTGGCTGTATATTCGTACTCCAAACATTACAGGCGAGTAAAATTGGAGTGAAGCAACTGCGCCATCTCTACCTGAGCTAGTAAATTATTCAAGCAAATAAAGATTGAGCCGAATTAGCTTTCATTAATTCAAATCTCAAGGTGGCAGATTATGCAAATTTTAATCTCAACGTGTATCTACACGGCGTGCAAAGCAAAATAAATAGTATATATATACGCTTGCAAAACTTAATAGTGATATAAAGGATATAGCAGCTGATAGCTAGACGCGTCTCAAATATCAGCACAAAAACCACGTAGATATTAGATATAATAATCATATTTTATTAAAGAATCGTATAGCCTATCTGCTCTTTGTTGCAGATTGACTACCTCCCGCGACACTTACTAATCCGCTTTAAGTTCCAAAAACACAAAGAACTAAAGAAACACAGGATCTCCCCCTTATCTATGTAGAGACACTGAAGAACAGCGGTTGCGAACTTCTCGATAACTAACGAATAATCTCCTATTAAAATGCGGCAAGACTTTTTGAAAAATTACTTATTTTGAAAAATTTAGTCAAATAAATCATATAGTACGACATAGTTGACTTTAGAGGTGATTCTCGCAGCCATACATGTGAACAAATACTGTGTGGATAGGCGGCAAAAGAATGTTAAAAATCGTCTCAGTATAACTTGATCATAAAGGAGCTATGTCTGCAAGCGGCGTAAAACAAAGCAACGCTGTAGGAATGAAAGTTTTCTTTGTTGCCGAGGTCAAAAGGAGGGCAAAAGCTTTTTACAAGAAACTGCAAATACTAAACGACCATAGGCAGATGTGTACAGTGGATACCCATGGGTACAATTGTTCGCAGTAATAACGACCAACAACGATTTACAGTAACTCAATCGAAATTAGGTTTGAGATTTTCGGAAGGGTTGTGCGTAAAACCTATTGAGTATAATGCGTAATCAGGAATGGAGCGAATTGGTGGTATCATACGTAAGTTGTGCCGTTATTATGTCGTAAAAAGGCTCTTAATTCATGAGCCTTGTAAGAGCTTCGTAAGCAGGTTGGCGATACTAAAATATTCAATCCGTTATGAGTAATAGCCAATAAAGAAATCAATGACATAAGAAAAACTTAAACGAATTCGAGTGAATATAGTAAAGGTGATCGTTTTTCAGATTAGCTCACATTGACTTCGCCGCAATTTGAACTCACTGGAAAAGAGTAGCTAGGTTACTTCAGTACTATCTAAACACCATAAGCAGTAGCGATTAAACGACCGAGAAAATTGCTTAGTTAGCCATTTACTTGCAAATTTATGAGCCTATCAAACATAATGACTACCATTCTCACACATATTTATACGTTACCATTTAAATCTTTCTTAAATACGCAGTCCTTCTAAAACATGAATTTTAACAACAAACGGACGAACAGCAACAAAATTGAACGTGAGAAATGCGGTAAGGCACGCCGTAACCTCCTATTGCGACATTGAAGATTGCAGGAAATAAGCTTTATCAGATATATAGATAATCTTTATTGAAATATATTCAATATGAATGAAAAAATGGCCGGAAGTGATGGCAAAGATAATGTAGCATATGTATGTGGATTGAAAAAAATGTTTTAGAGGGTTTTAGAAGGTGGGACACTGGGTTGTCTACAAATATGAGTGTAGTTCGACCACAAGAACAGTTTAACAGGTATATAACTATAAGCCATAAATACATGCGCTTAAGTAATGGGACGTGGTTGAAGGGGGCAGGGGTTAGGAGAACGGCGGGAATGGTAACAACGACTGCTATAGTCTTGCGAATGCAGCCATATGTTCTGTAATATAAATACATTTAATGAAAAAAAAAACAAATAAAAATGTTTAGACAATATCTCTTTCACTCTATAAATAGGTAGTGATACTTACATCGAAAAGTTACACTAGACGCGAAACTCACACTTATTAATTACTAAAGTGTTAGATGTCGACAATTCGCTTCGCAATATTTAGCGATCCGCGCTGAATTAACGCGCTGTATTGGAGTTCATATCTATGAGCGTTACATATCTATGAGGAACTCATAACAAAAACATGCAAAAAAACTCTGTACCATTAAGTAGTCACAGCTTTTATATTAACAATATAATTATCGTACATTTTGTTTAACTAGCATATATACTCTGACAACGACGGCTTTTAAAAACAACTGCTGAGAAATGCCTCCTTAGAGGGCTTTTATAATGTCTCAGGGTGCGCTAAATGTTCGAGCAGTTTCGGATCGCTTCTCATGTTAGGACTATTCATCATAAATGGTATTATTACTACGGGAGTGTTATCTTCAACAGAGATGTCCGTCAGTAGATTCTTGTTCAAAGTAAACGTTACGTGGGCCTATTTTTAATTTGGTAGGCAAATTCAAGTCGAAATCCCTACGCTTGATACTTCTTACGAATATCGATTCTGATTATTAGCATTGTTTTTTTTCATTTTTCCTAGTAAAATTTCAGAATTATGAATTTCAGATGAATTCAGATTAATCCATTCGATCTAATGCTTGATCTCGCTTATTAGGGTGATCAGTGTTAGTTCTTGTTACTCGAAGTTGCACGTACCGTCGGAACGCATAAGAGTAAACGGCTTTTTGTTTCTATTGAAAATTGCATTTGCGTGTGTTTTTATATAAATGACTTTAAATACAATGCTGTGTCAGCATTCGCATGGTACCACTAATGAATGTAAGATTCAAGCCGCCAAGAAAGCGGGTATTGTGTATTTTTTTAAGCCTCGGATCAACCACAGACTTCCTGTTACTAGATAATTTAGAGAAATTAATGTCTCAATTTTTTTTGTTAGACGGCTGACTACTGGTTCGCTTGGAACAAATACAAATGCTCCGACCGCTCTATTTCTATCATGAATCCAATAAAGGAATCAATATTGGCGTTAGATAAGCAAAGAATTTCCAGCAGATACGCTTATTGCTCTCATAGTACATCTATAATTTACCTGAAGATGTTTGTTTCTTGATCTTCCTTCTGTGGCTTTTCTAAAGCTGCTTTTCTTTTTAATTAGATATAACAAATATATATCTTAAGTAATATGCTATTAAGTAATATGATTTAACAAGTGAAATATCCAACTTTAGTGTACACGGGGTAACAGGACATATTATCAATGGGCTGGGGTTTAGTAACAACCAATCTCTCTAAAGAAGTTTACGAAGGAGAATTAAGATTCCACTGTTTTGGTGAACCAACTGCAATTACTTCAAACTTTCTTCTAAGCGTTGCTTATTGCGCTCATGATCCAATAATATGACAATTTCTAGGGAGATCTAACAGTATTCCTGCAAGTAATTTCATTTATGGGTTGACGAACCCGCACAAAATACGGGTGCAGATTCTTAGTGGATTTTGACTAGAAAAATTTAGCCTTATTGTTTACATAGAGAAGCCGTAGTCAATTGCATTACGTTGTTCTTAAATGGTTTCTTCATTGTTTAAATTAAATTGTTTTCGTTCAGCATAGCCTACCCTTTGTGTACCTGCGATCAAAATGTTAGTTTAATACAATGTATATGTGTTTCTTTCAGATATTGGTGGGTTCCATATTTTATTGAAGCACTTTATTTTCTAATTAGCATGAAGCATTGTGGGTCGTTCGATATTAAATCATAAATATCTGATACAAACATTACCTACTGTCATACGTTGGTGTCATCCGATGTATCCATTCTGGGCATGACACCAACCATTGCCACCGAGCAGATCAACAAAATGTCACTTGTTACGCATTTTATTAGCATACACTAAGCACCTACCGATTTTCTAAAACCAAGCCATATGCGCCTAATGGCACTTTGCAGGTGTATTAAGAAATTTGCCTTCAAAGTGTGAATAACTCCATTCTAATTCGAAATCAATATTAAAGTACCTGGATTTGATAGTACCAGTGGTCGCCTAAAAAGTATCGAGTAATATAAGAAGACCGCAATAAACACCCACGTTTCGGAGTCCTTATTTTAGAAAATGGTATCATGGTAATAAGATGGTCAAAGATATCGAACTGTGGAGAGCACGGCCAGCTTGTGTTGTTCGTTTCAAGGATATAGAGGAAGACTGGCTCGGATATGACGAGATCGTTGTAGGCTTTGGAAGAACAGCTAATATATATGTTTCTTCATTATAGTTAGTGGGTCAATTACTAACAGGGTTAAAAGGGCGATGTATAATGGATTAAAGATATTCCGACTGGCGCAGTTGTACGGATAATTCGAATTTCTATATTCTGTGAAAAGCGTATTTTGCTGATCTTGTTAATAGTTTTATAAAAATTTAGCAGTCAGATGATAACGTATCATTTCTTCCGACTTCGATTAGTCCTTAGGAAGTCTAGTGGCAAGGCGGCCAAGTTACGCATGACAGACCTAAACATTTTGTCACAAAATCTGTGTATAAGGGATATATTTCCATGACGAAATAAATTCGACTTTCACAACCAGATGTGCGCAGCCCCGAGTTCGCAGCCCTGCCAGCGGTCCGATTTCAGCTTTCCGCATAATGTGTTTTTGCATATTTTTTTCGCACTGGTATCCTTAAATTTTCTTTAAAACTTGACACCTTTTAAGATATTTACCTTCGTTTTATAGTTGAATAACTTAGACAATTTTAATAATCTTTTTCTTACCTTAATGCCATGTTAAAACATGAGGAGAATGGCCAGGCCGATTCGATAAATAAATAATATGTATAGGTTCCTGGCTATACTTATAACATTGGTGTTATTTTAATAAAAAAAAATTAATATACTACAGCTATTGGTTTTACAAGACTTTCTTTAATTATACGGATCGTGTTCACTTCGCAGTCACAAATAAGGTTCACTTAAGTTCCACAAAAAATAGCCGCCCTATCTTTATAGAATATGATTATTTCTTAATTATGCTTTTTCAAAATTCATGTAATTTATAATGCAAACAAGATTGTTTTCTTTCTAAGATAATTTGTTTATAAATTAGTTTATAAACTAAATCAAGTACGGGGTTTCGTAGCTGTCAAATAACTAAGCGATTTCAAGTCTTCTTAACCCTCAAGTGTCTTGATATGGATTAGGTAACTCCATATATCGTTAGTGCTATGATTTCGCTTTCCTATTCATATAACCACCTGTTGTTGTTCTTTAGCGTAATTCTGGAGGTTTGTTCACAATTTCGCAAATATTCAGTAGGATCGTTTGGAATAAGGTTCGTCCTAGGCCTCGTGTCATATGGTAACGGATGCGCCAATCTATCATTTGGAATCTACGTCAGGATTAGTCGTTATTTCGCTTTTATCCGAAAGTACCTAAAAATAATGAATGGAAGAGAATGTAAACTGAAAGCTTAAATAAAAGAAGGGAAATTTTCACTGTATATAGATGTATGTAGGTAAAGTATACACGTTTCTGTGCTATATAT